AACGATAAACAACAAACTTTTTCCTTCGGGAGGTCTCTCTTTCTCTTTTTCTTTATTTTCTTTTTCTTTAAAATATTGCCACATTTCCATTCAACTGCTGTTGGAACTACCAGCAAGATGTCAAAATGTTCTCCAAATCACTATGCCAAGGAAAGGCAACTGAGGATTAGACTGCCTTGGAGAAAACTATACGACCACTAATCATTATATCAGCTGGTGCGAAATCAGTGAGAGAAGAACATTAGAGAGGATGAGAAGTCAAGAAATAGAAGTAAAAGCAGAAAAGGAATTTTAAAATAGGATGAGAAAATGCTGAATACCTATCATAATATTTCCAAATCAGAATGCCAGCTAAAATGGTATTCAATCAAAATGACACTATATATTATTCCAGAATAGCCCTAGAAATAAAAAGCCCTATCCCGTCCCCACAGGAGAGCATAAGCAACTCTTTATTATAATGAAGCGAACTTCAAGGGTTGAAATCCTTTATCTTTTTCCAGGGAGTATACGTCAGAGAATATAAATGCATGTGCCATTACTTTGCAACATTAGACGGGAAACGGTATGAAAGCAAACATCAGCCCTCAAGGCTCCAGTCCCTCAACCACATCTTGTTCCCTGAACCCATGGGAAGTGGCTATTAGTATCTTCATTTTAGATGTGCCATAACTGAGGAGGATCAGAGTGGTCTGTTTCCCCAAATTGCACACAACTAGTAAACTGTCAAGAAAGATTGGATTCCAATTCTTCTGACTGTGATGCCAACACTCTCAATTTCCTGAACCCGCTTCCTGTCAACCCAAAACAGCTTCTTCCCACCGCAGCCCACTGATCATTTACCTCCTTTACACAAGTAAATTAAAAATTACACAAATGCATTTTATGTACTCTTCCCTCTCAGATACTCCATGCACACCAGATACATCTTTAGAAAATCAGTCTTCACTGTTAGTGTCCTAACTGCCCACCAGCTCCAAGTTCTTTTTTTTTTTTTTAAAGATTTTATTTATTTATTTGAGAGAGAGAGAATGAGAGACAGAGAGCATGAGAGGGAGGAGGGTCAGAGGGAGAAGCAGACTCCCCGCTGAGCAGGGAGCCCGATGCGGGACTCGATCCAGGGACTCCAGGATCATGACCCGAGCCGAAGGCAGTCGCTTAACCAACTGAGCCACCCAGGCACCCCCAACCAGCTCCAAGTTCTTACCTTCAGACATGAGCTTGAATATCTATCACCCCAAACTTGACATGTCTAAATCACACTAAAAGCTCCTACCACAACTTCTCTATTTCTTTTCATTAAAGTGAAACATCTTTTTTTTTTTAAAGATTTTATTTATTTATTTCAGAGAGAGAGAATGAGAGAGAGCACATGAGAGGGGGGAGGGTCAGAGGGAGAAGCAGACCCACCGCTGAGCAGGGAGCCCGATGTGGGACTCGATCCAGGGACTCCAGGATCATGACCTGAGCCGAACAAATGAGCAAAAACAGGAGCCACCCAGGTGCCCCAAAGTGAAACATCTTTGACTCCTTCCTCCTCTTCCTACTTAGGATCTTAAGCCTTGGATGCTTCTCCCGGCATCTTTTAAAATCCATTCTTTCTTTTTAGTTCTCTCCAGATGAAGAACTCTCATCTCAATCAGTAACCTCCAAACCAGGGATCCTGAATCTCTCCCCCTTCACACCCCCAATCTATCAGTTCTCTAGACTTTTTAATAAACTCTTTGAGTGGTTCATTGTTGGAAAATTTCCCAAGGCTTCTTCCACTTCTGTTCATTTCCTCTGTCCAAGATGGCTGAGGTTCCTCTTCTCAGCAAGGCCACTTCCTGCTCATCTTTCCTGTAAGCCTCTGCCATGAACTCTACACAATACATGCCTATACACAGGGACTGCTTCCTCATCCCTCAACTGACACCTTGTGGGCCTTTTGGTACAGGAGCCTGGTCTGCCTTATGATAACTCTATATTGTCCTTATTTTCTTTTTTCTTAGAATTTTAAATTATTACTGATCCATGCATGAGACCCTCTTTCTTTCTTTCTTTTCTTTCTTTCTCTTTTTAAATATGATGATCACCTATGAATTTATTCTAGCTACTAAATTATTACCGATAACTTATATCCACCTATGTGTTCCTCCCCATGCCATCCCCCTGGTCCTCTCAGAAGACAACTGCTGTCCTAGGTTTTAAGTTAATCCCTCTGCTTTAAAAAAAAAAAGTATTTCAACACACACACCTATATAAATGCTTGTTTGTATTTGACGATTTGTGTTTGCTTATTTCCCTGGCTTGTGTAAATCAGTACAACAATTTTGGGAAATAATTTGCCAATATCTAGTAAACTGAATACTCACACATCTTACAAATCAACAGTTCTGTACCTTGGTATTTCCCCAAGAGAAACACTTGCATATGTGCCCCAGGAAGCATGAATGACCAGAGCAGCACTCTCTGCAAATTTTTTTCAAGTGGGAAAAAAAAAAAAAAGCCATTGGCAGAAGTGGGAAACATATTGCTACACATACATAATGGAATCATGTACAGCAATGAAAGTCAGTGAACTACAGCTATATACAACATGGATGAATCACGGAGACATAATGTCGAGAAGAAAAAATTCCCAGAAGTCAGTGGGTAGCATGAGACCTTTTTTGTAAGATTAAAAACGAACCTTAAAAAAGTATCATAATCATTACTTAACCATTGCAGTTTAAAAAGCAAAACAACAACAAAAAAAACTCTTTTGAGAATTCATCATGACTTACCCCCCAAACTAGACTACAAACTCTTGAAGGCAGAGACATCTTTTTATTCTTATTTGTATTTCCCACAGTACCTAGACAAGTGTCTTGAACAGATGGATGCTCATAAGTAATTATTCATTGAATGATCACTGAATGCTACCTAACCAAGGCATTTTAATGAAATTTAAATCCTCTCCCTAATCCAAGAGTTTCAGGAATAAAGTCACATAAAACTTTTACTTATACATTAACCTAATTCTATTTCTGCAGTGGTACTACAGATCTCCAACCACAAATATTTTATCTTAGAAGGATTTTATCCTTCTTCTCGGAGTAAAGTTAACATAAGGTTAAAGCAATCCAGAGACGAGAAAACTTACGAGATCCTGTAAAAGTTCAGCAGAATCTCATCACACTATATACCAAGAGACATCTGATAAAACACCGTAATTTGAAACTGAGATATCCCAAAAGGAATCCATCCACTGAATGTATAATTGAGTTATCAACAAAACTGAAAATATGAGCAAAAACAGGATTTTTAGGTTTTCTAAAAGCAAAGATTTTAATTGGAAAATATTTTGTTTCTACACTGAGAAAAAAATTATTTTTAGGGGGAAACACAAGAAATTCAGGGGTAAAAGAATAATAAGAATAATAGTCCACCAATCAGGACCTTCCTTATAACTCAATGAGGACTACGCATATTCTCTATAAGTGATGATAGCAGAGTTACACTGCAGCTTCCCTTCGACCTTGGGAACTCTGCTCACTCTGAGTTACTGGGAGGTCTTCTGTTTCATTTATTATTAGTCTTTGTATCTGCAATGCTGTAGCATTGGATAGGAATATCAACATTGTGAGCTTGCAGTACCTAAAACTGTAGAAATGCTTCCAAAAAACAAATGGGGATGGAGGAGGGAGGAAAAAACACAACCAGGAGGAAAACAAAGTTAATGATGTGAAGACGGGATATTTTTGAATTTTACTTTTGACGAAAGACTACATTTATGATTCAGCTCTGTGATATACAACTATCCGCTAGCATGCAATTTTTTTTTTTTTTTTTTTAGTTTAAGAAAAGATGTCATGGAAAAATTGTTTTCTTATTTAGGAAAAAGAATCACAAGTGAATATAACGTACAATTTGCTAAAACTAGTTCAATGATTTTAAAAGGAAATTCGTATGGAGGAAAAAAAAGAAAAAAACCTATAGGACTTTGCGTCTGGGAGAAAGAAATAATCTGGCAACCCAGTGGGTTCACTTAGTTTCGAGTCATTTGCCTCATGTCCATTATGTAATGCCTTCCCCAGCTTTGGGTCTCTATGCTTAAGCTACCGTTCAGGTATATCACAGAATTGCCACAAAATCAGTATCTGGTCATAACTTTCAAAAACAGCTCCAAAGGTGTCATGCAGATGTGCCCACAACAGTAGAGGCTTAAAAAAAAAAAATCTGCTGGTGTCATTACTTCTTCCCGGCTTCCTCCCCAGGTCTCCCTTCCCCTCCTCCCCCAGCATCCCCGGCGACACGATCTGCGGGCAGCTCCCGGCTCGTTGCAGGGGAAGCACGTCTTGACTGCAATGCAAACGCTGTCCCGGTCTGAACCAGGGAAGGCAGACTCGGCCCTGGCTGGAGGTGTAGACCAAAGCTGCAGGGAAAGGCTGCAGGGGAGCCAGCAGCGGGTGGACAGGGGTGCCCGCGAGGCCAGTCCGCAGTGCCCGCGCACAATAAAACCCAATGCCACAACTTCCCCAGCCGCTCCTGTCGGCTCCCCGGATTCGCTGGGAGGTGCGGCGTAGGCGTTAGCTGGAGCGGGCGCGGGCGCTCTCGCCGCGCGGGTTCGGTTCTCCGCTGACAATTACATCAGTCCTTCTCCCGGCCCCAGCTTCAATCCCCGGCAGCCAGGCGGAGCGGGGGCGCCGGGCAGCGCGGAGGAATGCGGGCGCGGGAGCCAGGCGGCCGGAATTCCCCCACAACGAGGGGGAAGGGAGGGTGGCGAGCGGGGGGACCTTGACCCAGACGCCCCCTCCCACCTTGGCCATGGGGCCGGACTGGCATCGCCGCCCCCGCCACCCGGGCTAACCGGCCAGGGGAACCCCCAGGGGGCGGCGACGCCTCCAGGGCCCAAAGCCGGCTGCCCACCCGCGCGTCCCTCCGAGTCCTCGGCCCTCCGGACGCGCACAATGCCCCGGGGCCGCGGGCGGGCACCGCGGTGCCGGCTCGCGGAGTCCCCTCTGCGCTAGGACACCCACCTGGAAGGCGAGCAGCGGCGCCGCCGATTGTGCGGCGGCAGCGGCGGGAGGCGGCCCTGGCGGGCGGGCGGGCAGACGGGCGCGCGGGCTGGCCGGGGAGCGGAGGCGCGGGCGCCGCCTGCGCGGAGCCGCGGACTCCAGCACCGACAGCGGCGGCGGCGGCGGCGGCGGCGCTGCGCCTCCAGTGGTCCACCGCGCCGCAGCCCCTCCTCTCCCACGGGCGGGGCGCGCTGGCGGGGCGGTGCTCCCGGGTCCCCGCCCCCGGCTCCCGGGAGCGGCCCAGGCCGGAGTGGCACCGCGGGCGGCGGGCGCTCCCGCTGCGCGCCCGCCCCGCCGGCACCCTTCGCCGCGCCGCGGGGAGAGCCTCGGGCCGGGTTCGCCGCGCCTCCGACGCGCGGGGCTCCACCGCCCGGGCTCACCCCCCGCCCGGCCCCCGTGGGAAGCCCTGGTGTCCAGAGATAACCGCCGTGGAGACCCTGCCCGGGCGTCCCCGGGCCTAAGAGCTACAGCAGCGCCGCCGCCCGCCCGGGGCCCGCGGAGATGGGCCGGCCGCAGTTCTCCAGGGCTGGCCTCGCAGGGCCCGGGCGCTGGGGGCCTCGATCGAAGCCGCTCCGAGCGCTGTGGGAGAGCGGGTGAGAAGGAAGCAGCAGCCCGGCGGCCTCCCCGGAGGCGCTGCCCAGCCCCTGTCCTGGGCCGACGTTCAGGCTGGTCAGTTAACACACGGGACTGTGTGTGCCTGCCCGCCCCCCGCCCCCACTCTCCCACCGCCGGGTCCCTGACACTCCGGAGCCAAAACTTCCCGGGCCCAGAGAAACGCTTGGGTTCGGTGAAAAAAAAGGATCCGTTGCTGAAAGCTCCCCCGCACCACAATCCTTCCCATACCCTTAAACTTCTCCACCTTTAGACCGTTCCCAGCCTATACCCTAGGGTAGATTAATCTGAAGGCAAATTTGCTCCAAGGACGGGGGTTAATTTAAATATTTGCACAGACGTCTCTTCTGTAAATGGATGACTGAGGAAATGTCAAAAGTATTTCAAGACATTTCTGTCATCACCATCTTCAGAGGGAAAAGTCCAGACAACACTGATTGAGCCTAACATGAATTACTACAAAAACAGCGCTGGAGTGCTCTATGGGCTGTCCAGGCGTTCAGATTGGATGGGGGCGGGGGGGAGGTGTTTGCCTTCAAAAATTGCAGGCATTGCTACCCACTGAGGCAACTCGGTGATGGTGTTTCACTGTTCTCATACTGTCCTGTTGTAAAATAACAGGTGCTGGACCCTGTGACACGTCGCAATTTCACCTTAACTCCTTCCCTGTGAAGACAGTCCCCTCAAGGGAAGGACTGGAGCGCTGACCCTCCCTTAATCACCATCGCCTTCTCACTCCTTCCATCTGAGTTCCACTGACAGGGTCTACTGAGACCACTCTAGCTAAAAAGAGGGGGAAAGTCAAACCCCATATACAAGAAAATACAGAAGAGTGAAAGGAAATGAGAGAGAACACACACAGAGTCCTTCATCTAACGGAGTACTTCTCAAAGTTTTCCGCTTCTAGGGAGATAGAACCATAAACTATTGGGGGCGGGGGGAGAGAAGCTACCACCACTTCAACCCGCTTTATCTTAAGAATCCCTGCACACTTTCCACTCTATTCCATAGTATCTCTGTGTGTTTTCCTATTTTAAAAATAGGTTTAAATATCAGGAAAAAGTGTTCTACCTGTCTCATTGATGAATGACCAAATACGGTGTAATGGCACTACTCCTATGGAAACGGGCAGATTCAAGAGGGCCGCCATTGTGTATCAAAGTGGCTTCTCCACTCTCTGCATCAGTATTTTGAAAACTCAGACTGGATATATGAATATGAATAACAGGCTTTTCGCTGCGTTTTGGCTATGGCCAGGTTATGGCTCAGAAGTTGCCAGAGAGCAATGTTTTCATTAAGTGTATATTCTTGCTAAGAGTTTAGGTCACAAGTCGTATGTTGGCTAAAAAGATCTCTGCTCCCTGATTCATTCCTTTCATTTGTCTCAAAGAAATACTTGTTCATGGACTTTTTCAGTGAAGGAAGTTAATGATATTCTTAAAATACTATTACTCACAGATGAACAGAGCTTCACATGAATCATAGTCCCCACCATCGATTCACTTCATACAACTCTTACACTTCATTTTTCTTTTTTTTTAAGATTTTATTTATTTAGGGGCGCCTGGATGGCTCAGTCGGTTAGGTGGCTGCCTTCGGCTCGGGTCATGATCCCGGGGTCCTGGGATCGAGCCCCGCATCGGGTTCCCCGCTTGGCGGGAAGCCTGCTTCTCCCTCCCCCACCCCCCTGCTTGTGTTCTCTCTCTGTCAAATAAATAAATAAAAATATTTTTTAAAAAAGATTTTATTTATTTATTTGAGAAAGAGAGAGAGAACACGAGGAACACGAGCGAGGGGAGAGGCAGAGGGAGAGGGAGAAGCAGACTCCCCCCGCTGAGCAAGGAGCCGATGTGGGGCTTTTTCCCAGACCCTGGGATCATGACCTGAGCCGAAGGCAGACACTTAACCTACTGAGCCACCAAAGTGCCCTCACCCTTCATTTTCATTATAATTTTTTTATGAGCACTATTTTAGCTGGGGTTTCTTAGGAAGAATGACATGCTAATGCTTCACTGAAAGATGCAATCCCTGGGCATCAAGAGCAAGGAAAAGAGGTCATTTGACAGGGAAGAATGGGAAGCAAATAAATGGTAATATATTCCCAACCTGGTCTATGCTTCACGAACCTGAAAAGACACAGTTGCTTGGCCATGTAAAGTATTTATGGACAGGCTCTACAGAAAACCGCGCACAGGAACAGTCTATCAACGTGAGGACCAAAGAAGAAACTTACCTGCAATCTCCTTCCCATCTCTATTTCCCACTGGTCAAAATTTATCCCACCAATGGTTCACTACCCCAGCTTCCAGGTTGAATCATCCGATTCCTTGGGCAGCTACCTAAGAAGCAAATCCATGCTCTGCAACCATGCTCTGGGATTTGTGCTGAATTGTTCTACAGACAACTTGGTTATGCTGGAAGCTGTGTTTCCCAGAATCCTCTTTTCTACTTTCCAGATCTGTATGCATCCAGATGGATAAAAATGAAGTTGCTGGAGACTTGGCAGGCAAAAGCGAAGCAGCAGCCATTACCCTCTGAAAGTTGTCGTTGGTTAGACGTGGCAAGAGCCGAATGTCCACATGCAAGAGGGTTCTTGTTTGTTCTCAGTCATCCGTGCTCTGTGTTCTCCTCTGCCCAATAACTATGACCACAGTTGGCTTAATGGACTCTTTACAGACACTTCCAGAGGTGGTGGCTGTAAAGGCCACAACTTTCCGTGGACTTCTACACCAGCCCTCCTCGTGGTCCCACTGCAGCGGCCGGATGTGCCCAGCTTCCAGATTTCCCCGAACGCTCGGACTGCTTCGTCTGTTTGAGGGCTGGTCTCTGATCTTGGCAACCGCTTCCAGACTCTTACTTCCCCAGCTCCTTCCACAAATGTGGAGGTCTAATTCCCATAGGAAATTCCTTATTCAACATACTTATGGCGCTTCTGCTTTCCTGATTGAACCTCGTCTGCCAGAGGCTTAAGCTTGTGGCTGATCTGCCCCAGGGGGCTTGCACTGGGTCAGTCACCTTGTAGGCAGTTGAAGCAGGGCGAGTAGCTCAGAAACCTGGAGAAATGTGAGGCTGAGAGAATCTGAAGAGGTACTCTAGCGGTATCCCATATAAGCAGTAAAAATATTCATAGTTTTGCTTTGTATTTGTTCATTGACAGTATTTAGCTTTGAAATACTTTTATTATTACTAAAGTAACCGTGGTAAATTACTGTCACAAAATGGAATGAATAATGGCTTTTTTTTTAACCTTTCTTGAGATATCAAGTAATGCTTCGTTCATTTGTGAGTAATAGTATTTTAAGAATATCATTAACTTCCTTCACTGAAAAAGTCCATGAACAAGTATTTCTTTGAGACAAATGAAAGGAATCAATCAGGGAGCAGAGATCTTTTTAGCCAACATACGACTTGTGACCTAAACTCTTAGCAAGAATATACACTTAATGAAAACATTGCTCTCTGGCAACTTCTGAGCCATAACCTGGCCATAGCCAAAACGCAGCGAAAAGCCTGTTATTCATATTCATATATCTACGCCAGCCTGAGTTTTCAAAATACTGATGCAGAGAGTGGAGAAGCCACATTTTTCCTTGAGTGGAAAGAATAAACCAAATCTCAGCTGGAAAATTCTGACCAGTATCTTCCCCCAGCTATGGAAGCATCTTACCTGAGTTTCCCACTTTTGTTATAAATGTGAACATAAAGATGGACCTTCCCTTTGTAACTTACTCTCTGTGAAGTTGATTTTTTTAAACAAATTTACCAATTTACAAGACCAAAGGAACACAGTGAGAAAATCAAAAGGCAAACTCTTTGAAGCAAGGAGTTCTTGCAGGAAGGGTGAAATGTTAGCTTTTAGGGTGAGGGGCCTTCATGTACTCTTAATCTTCAGCCCGTTTGTCACACTCAGCACTGCCTTTGAACATGTGCATACATGTTTCCCCCCAATTTCTCAATGCTCCTTAAAAATCACAGAAGCTGTTGAAACTTTTCTTACCAAGAATATTGCCATCAAGAACTTTTGGCAAGATCAGGGGCACCTGGGTGGCTCAGTCGTTAAGTGTCTGCCTTCGGCTCGGGTCATGATCCCAGGGTCCTGGGATGGAGTCCCATGTCGGGCTCCCTGCTCTACAGGAAGCCTGCTTCTCCCTCTCCCACCTCCCCCCCCGCCCCCCGCTTGTGTTCCTGCTCTCGCTGTGTCTCTCTCTGTCAAATAAATAAATAAAATCTTAAAAAAAAAAAAAACTTTTGGCAAGATCAGAAGCCAAACTTCCAGGTCCCTAACTCCATTTGGTCCTGTAACCTTCATTCCCACATTGTCACCATCTGCCCAAATGAGTTGCTGATCCAGCCCAGAGAATACTGTTACATCCACTTCAGAATGAACCTTTCATTCAGAGTGCTTATCAGAGTGCCTGAAAGGATAGAAAGAATTGGGATTTTGTTGAGTTTATTGGTTGCAGGCATTTTGGGGTTTTCGATGAATCTTTTATACATTTAATCCAATAAATATTTGTTAAGTATCTGTTATGTGTTAGGCATTATTCTGGGTGCTTGAGATATGAGTGAGCAAAACAGAGCCTACTCTCATAGAGCTTACATTCCAGCAGAGAGAGACAGACAAGAAACGACAGACCTAACAGATAAGTAAATTACACAGCATATTAGAAAGCCTTATGTAGGGGCACCTGGGTGGCTCAGCTGGTTAAGCGTCCAACTCTTGATTTTGGCTCAGGTCATGATCTCAGGGTTGTGAGATCAAGCCCCACATGGAGCCCCTCGAAGAGCCCCACCAAGAGCCCACCTCGAGCCGACCTCAAGCTCCACGTGGAGCCCTGGGGCTCTGAGCTCTGCAGGGAGTCTGCTTGAGATTCTTTCTCTCTTCTTCTCCCTCTGCCCCTCCCCCCACTTGTGCTCACTCTCTTGCTGTCTCTGCCTCAAAATAAATAAAATCTTAAACAACAACAACAAAAAGAAAGCCTTAAGTAATACAAAAAATTGTAGAAGTTGAGCACATTAAGAGGGATGGAGGTGGGCTGCCATGTTGCAATATTAAATAAAGTGGTCAATCTCGGCCTCATTGAGAAGGTGGCACTTGAGCAAAGACTTGAAGGAGGTGAGGAAGTTAGTCAGGTGGATGTCTGGGAACAGGAGGTTTCCCCTCCTGTCAGAGTGACCAGCCACTGCAAAGCCTATGGAGTGGGCACGCCTGGTGTGCTCTGAGAAGGGCAAGGAGGCCAGGTGCCTGGAACAGAATGAGGGCAGGAGAGAGTGTAGAATGAGGGCAGGAGAGAGTATGCAGAGAGAGAGGTAATGGTAGCCAAATCATGTAGAACCTGTGGCCATAGTGAGGACTTCGAATTTCATTCTGAGTGAGGCGGACATTGATCGCAGGTCCATGCAGTGGAGTAAAATGATTTGATGTATGTTATAAAAGATGTCTGGCTGGGGTGCCTGGGTGGCTCAGTTGGTTAAGCGACTGCCTTCGGCTCAGGTCATGATCCTGGAGTCCCGGGATCGAGTCCCACATCGGGCTCCCTGCTCAGCAGGGGGTCTGCTTCTCCCTCTGCCCTCTTCCCTCTCATGCTCTCTGTCTCTCATTCTCTCTCAAATAAATAAATAAAATCTTAAAAAAAAAAAAAAAAGATGTCTGGCTGCTGTGTCATGAACAAACTGTTAGAGGGGCAAGGGTGGAAGTAAGGAGGAGGCTGTGCCATCACTCTGGTGAGTGCTAACAGTGGCTCAAGGCCAAGTGGTGGAGCGGAAGGGTAAGAAGTGGTCAAATTCAACATGGGTCTTCAAGGTAGAGCCAGCTGGATTTTCTGATGGATTGGATTGTCCTTGCTGATAAGTGTTTGCATGAATTATGATTGAGGCTTATTTTTCTTATACTATTCACTTGGTGAGGTTGTGGGGAGGAAACCTAGGGCCCTGCTGCCTCTAGATAGTGGGGGATGGTGATCACTGGCAAAGATCCTAATGCCTGAGGGTGACCATTACAAGTGCTAATACCGCTATTTGCCCAGCAACACAACAGCACTCTGTGATTTGGGTTTTTATAAAACACACACAGACACACTCAAACACAAACTACATGGAAAAGTAGAATGTTTGGACATACAACAAACCTCGTAGGGGCACAAAAATTCAAAATGAACTTTCCCCCCAAAATCGTAGAATGACATTAGCAAAATGGAACCCACTTTGTACTTCTTATCCCCCTGCTTCATATCCCAGGGCTTAGAAAAACAAGACTTTCATGTAAGCAAACTCAGAGCCAGAACATGCTTACTTAGCCCTCAGGCCTTTTGGGATGACTAGAGCCTTAAAATACCCTTGTTCTTTCGTGAGTCCTTACACAGGCCTACTTGCTTTCCAGAGGAGCTAAGGGAGCTGAAAGTTCTCTAAGGATAGTTAGCGTAGTGATGGATGCTGCTAACCTAAAGCACTTGCTAGCTTTCTTCCGATTCCTTAAGAGGGTTATTTCTGTATGTTTACCTCTAAGCCTTTTACTACTACAAAGAATGGGGCATGTACCAAAGGTGTGGCGAGACGATTTAGCTGGTTCTCAGACATGCATTCAAAGACATTGATTCATAGAGTGAGAATATAACTCTTTCCCTTCCTTTCCTTTCCTTCCTTTCTTTCTTTCTTTTTTTTTTTTTTTTTGGAGGTGGGGGTTGACCTCAAGAAGCAAGGCGTAATTTGGTGCTTACATGTTTTTGAGAGCTCTGTTTAACATTTGCAAATCTCTCATTTTAACAACAAGCAAGCAGATCCCAACCTGGAGCCTTTGATCCTAGTAGGATGGTTTCAGAATTTAATAACGTTTTATTTGTTGGTCTTCACTGTATTTATTTTTAGAGTTGTTTTCTCTTGGTAGCTTGTGATACAGTTGTGATATAAAGTTTTTTTAAAAAAGATTTTATTTATTTATTTGACAGAGAGAGCGAGAGAGCACAAGCAGGGGGAGTCGCAGAGAGAGGGAGAAGTAGGCTCCCCGCTGAGCAGGGAGCCTGATGTGGAGGCTGGATCCCAGGACCCTGGGATCATGACCTGAGCCAAAGGCAGACACTTAACCGACTGAGCCACCCAGACACCCCTAAAGTTTGTTTTTAAAATGCATTCATTTGGAAATATTTTTTAAAGGAAGTCCATTCAGAAACATACTAGACAAACAATACCAAAGATAGTAAATAGATACGGCCCCAAAAATCATTAGAGCAGTAAGAAAACTGAAAACCGAAAATTGAGAAAAACTGATAAACTGGAAAGAGCAAAGTCAGAAAGGCTGAACTTCTAAACCCACTCTCAATCTTTTCTTGCCGTTTGACTTTGAACACATTTCTGAACCTCTGTCTAAGCCCCAGATTCTAAAAGAGTTGAAAAAAATTTCCAAACCCTACTAAGGTTGTGGTGAGGGCTGTCACAGTAACATATAAAGTATGTCCTGTACAGAAGGTTCTGGACAAATATTCGGTTATCTCTGCCTTCCAAAAGCCCATCCTGCCTTGGAGATGAAACACAAATGTCATGATCTTCATAAAACTTTCCCTAATCCCTGCCAGCTTTGAACGTGATCATTAGTCTCCGCAGAACTGCCTCCTCTATTCTGCTGTTCTTATCAGTAGTCTTCACACTTGCCTTCTTCCCCCTACTTGATTATAAGCTCCACGAGGGCAGCTCTTTGTCCAAAGCCTTGTATGTCATGGATGATTAATACATATTCAAGTAGCTTAATTCAACTGATCACTTCTTCAGTGATAAACTTGTGCCCAACAACAAGTACCTTAAATCAACCTGTCTGCTGACAAGCACTGAGAAGCCTTTGGCTCATCAGTGCAC